CCCCAAGTCGATGGCCCCAATGACGCAAGGAGCAGTTTTTTCCCCGCCACCACCTGGGCTTTCGGGATGGAGAGGACAACGACCGGCAGACCCTTTCATTTCATACCCACCGCAGCAAGGCTACGGCCCAGGGGGTCCTATCGACCCGCCCTTCCCTCCGCCAGCATACGGAAGTACTGCAGCAGCCCGGGGAAGAATGCCGTCAGTTCGATATGCATGACAGTTGTAAGATTTTTGTTTTAATCCTTTTTTTTGTCTTTAAGGGATCCCGACTCATATATATATGCATACCCGGTTTGGATATCATCAACACCGTTTTTCCGTCTGTTTTTTCTTTTTGTTTTTTTCACCACGAACCCGTTTTATGTTCCCACGGGCGCATGATATGAATACCCGTTTTCACATCACATATATGTAACAAGCATCGTAGCACGTGCATTTTGAAAAATCCATAGTTTTTTCTTTTTCGTCTTTGTTTTTGTTTTTATTATCTTTTTCTATTCAAGATGCTCATTTCTGCTGTTGTTCTGCGTTCGGTTCGTTCATACTTTTTGTTTGTTTGTTTGTTTGTTTTGGAAGTACCCATTTGGATGGACGTGGTTGGATTCGAGAAAGAGAAATGCGCCGTTAAGGTGGTCATATATATAGATGTATGTGTTGATTTTGTCAATGTTAGTAGTTGAGAGGAGTTGTGGAGTGCACCAGCTATCTCATGAATATAGTCCCACAGGCTTGATAGCGGCAATGCCAACAATATATACATATACCCATGCCAGTCTCCGGGGTCGTTTTGGAAGGAATGTAGATTGCTATTCATCTGTTCATTCATTCATTGATTCATTTATTTTCTCTGGTATATTGTGTGTCCAATCTACAATTCACAGTGGTATAGCGTGAAACAATAAAATTGAAACTTCCAACACGGTACTCTTCTAGCTCTTTGGTATTTATTGGGTGCCAATCGGTTTTCTCTTTCCTTGCCTTCTTCTTCTTCTTCTTCTTCTTCTTTGCCTCTTCGTGCGTCTTCAACCATCTATCTATCCTTTTCTAACATTCTCCTGTTTCTTGGATCCTCATTCGAGTAGTTCTTTTATTCGCAGCCGCGTGTATTGCCGGCGCCAACAAATGGATGTGTATCCATTTTTCTAAACTACGCCTGTGGTATAATCATAACCATAATTAGTACCTGCCAATGCGCCAGATACTGCCCGGCTCCTATTTACTGCGATAGAGATGAAGAAGCTTTGCGATGGATGTATAATTATAACATAGAGAGAAGGGGGGGGTTCCGGTATGAGATAGGTAGGGCCGGGGCGATATATAAACAACACACAAGCAAACCAACGTATCAGAGGAAAGACGTGGGAGGAAGGGCAGGTAAGTAAACGCTAGGTGCGGACAGGCCAAAACAGATACGATAAAAATTGAATAAAAAGAAGACCAAGACAAGACAAGACAAGACATAAACTCCTCATCCAAAACCATACATACATAGCAAGACGCAAAGAAAAGGCGAAGAGTAGAATGAACGAAGAACCCAACAAAAGAAAGGAAAAACAAATATGTTCACTGCAAACAAATCCCCACAAACCCCTCCCTCGTCACCCCTCCGACTCCTTCCAAATCAAACTCCTCAATCATAGCCCTCAGCTCCTCTTCCTCCAAGCCCGTCTCCCCTAGCTCCCTCGCCACGCGCCTCAAGTCCTCCAGATCAATAAACCCCTTTCCCCCTTCATCAAACAGCTCGAAGGCTCTGAGAATCTCCTCGCGCGGGTCACGCTCCAGGATCTTGCGCGCAGTGAGTGTCTGGAAAGCAGAAAGGGGCATGAGGAGGCTGGATGGATGCGGGGGCTGTTCTGGCTGGTTGGCTCCACGCTGCCCCGCCGCCGCCGCCGCCCGCTGCTGTTGTTGCGACGGCGGTACTTGCGATGATTGTGGCGCATTGCGAGGGACACCGTAGGTTGTTAAGAGAGAGATGAGGTCAGGTTTGGAGAGGGTGAAGCCCAGTGCGCGGAGTGCGACGCGGAGCTCATGGTAATCTAGATGGCGGTCGCGGTCTAGGTCGAAGAGGGTGAACTGTGTGGCTGGTTAGTGGGTTGGAGTGGAGATGGGTGGTTTTTCGCGGGCAAGAAGGAGATTTATATGTATATATAGTTTGTAGGAGTTTTCGTTGCTTACAGCTTCGTTGATTTCTTCCCGTTGTTCTTCCGTCAAGTCGTTGAGCGGGTTGTTATGGGGTTGTTGATGCTGGTGCGGGTTTTGTTGTGCATGTGCTGGCGGGGCAGGCGCTGATTTCGCCAGCCCGCCATCCCCTCCTGCAAAGTCTCCCCGATCCCGTCGTGAGAGAACTGAAGCGCCAAATGCGAGGTGGTTATTGTTCAGAGCAGATCTGTCGGGTAGTTTCCCACCAACGTAGGATGAGCGCGGCGGGAACGAAGGATGTGCGGAAGACGAGGCCATCTAGAGCTAATTGGTATTTACTCCTTTGGTAGATGGCGGTGAGGATTTAAGGTGGTTGAAGACTGAACAGACACCATGAAAAATGGGAGTGTTTGGGGAACTTCTGCAGATATATTGATTGATGTAGGTTTGTTGACGTGGTTTTGGAATTCTAGAAGATAACTTGAACTTTTGGTTTTGCGCATCTCAAGCTGCAAGCCGGGGGAAACGCGAGTGCACGTGACGTGGCGATCAAGACGTCGTCGGAGATATCACGAAGGCTTGAGTGCTATCTATTTCCAGTTGGTAAAGTAATAATTAAATAAAGTATAAGTAATGCATTAAAATCAGGGCATTTCCTCCGGTCCTGAATACTGCCCATCTATTTTCTGTGCGACTTCTTTCGGCCGCTCCCTGAACACAATTGATACGAGTATGCAAAGGAACTTGAATGTTATGCATTTAAGACATGAGGAAACACCACTCAGTAAACCGAGGAAATGACATCCAGGTACTCGTGCTCCTACCTGAATATACCAAATTACCGATATTTGCCATAGTACACAAACTTTTGTGGTCAAGCGTTAAACCGTGCAGCATGGAATGGAAAATGGGTAAGGGTGGTACGATTAATGGAAATGGAGGCAATGTAGTGTAGAACCTGGCGGAGACGCAGGGTCTGTAAGTGGGAAATAATAAAACCAATATACTAGTCGAAGAGAAAGAAAGACAACTCATTAGAAGTAAGTGGGAAATGGATCGGCAAATGGGGTAGGTATGCATACTAGTACTATCTATTAGACGAATGTCGGCATGGCTGCGGGCACAGCCGGGACTGGTGAATGGATAGGTAACCAAAGGGCATGAGCTCAACCGAAGGTCAGCGTATTTCATACTTATCTTGCTGTCTTTAATCAAGTGAGGTCGTGTACACATTTGGTGGTTTAAAGGGGGGGATTGATACGGTCGAAGCTATAGAACCAGATGCTAGGGGTCGTTGGACCCACAAATACCAGCCTCAAGTTCGCGAGTAAACTCGTTTGATTTAAAATATACATCGACCAAGAGCTCTAGTGCAAAGTCTGAGCTATTATTTATCCGTATGTTCGACTCGGACACACGAAAGCGAATCATGACCCTTATCACCGGAATGATGACTGGCAGCTCTCTGTGCGACAGTAGGGACAATTCGCTTAGCTGGTTTGCTGAAGGAGGGAGAACATGGTATCCTTTAACCAGGGTACGAAGGGCTCACGAGGAGGCTTCGTTAGAAAGCGCTCCTTTGCGGTAGTCGGATGATCCATGGTACGTGAAAAGTTGTGAGAGAGTATTTTTATCCCTTTCCTCTTTTACCATGTGTTTGCGTCGTCTGTCTTCTTCCTGTCTCGGGGCCTTTGATAAGTAACAGAGCCATTGATGCTTTCGTCGAGGGATTGACGGTTACAAAGAACAAACGAACATCCTGCGATGAAGATTGAAGACTCGGGCCTGTTTGGTGTCCTATAGTTGATAGTTAGTATGGTATTTCCAGTTAGAATGAATGTTAGGTGGAATCTCACCAGGAGACCCGCAGCGGTAGTTAGGAACCATTACAATTGTACCCGGATGTATTTCTGGCGGCCACCTGGGCATGTTATGTCGCGATTTTTACCCGAGTGGGTGTATCCAAGAAGATGCTGCGTTGTACCAATGGGGGATGATATGACCTATATATGTCCACTTCAGGAGGATGTGAATGCGAACTCGCAATCTAGGTACCGTTGGGCAGTAGTAGGTCATCGTGATTGGGACTTTTGCGGACATAGATCACGGGTCGCCAAACTATTGGGAACAAAGTTTAAAAGAGATATAATATAATATAATAGGTACAATGGCCCCAGATTTACTCACTCCGCTATGGGAGGAGTGTATGATACGGGGTGTCAGGGCACGAGGGAAGTTGGGGGACAAAATGGCGTGGGAGTAGGGCGAAGGATGAAAACCGTTGAATCTGCTCATATTGCGCTCCATGATATAACATTTTTATAACATCAACAAAGTAAAAATAAAACTCAAACACTCTACGTTTATCAGTTCTCAAGGCACTGAGGAATCAGGAGTTAATAATATTTGAAACATGAATATGGCCGGAACAATAGAGCGTAATAGACACCCTAACATGCGGCGAATATATCTCCCGAGAGAAGGAATGGCTGCTTGCAGCGGCTTTTGACACGCGACGAACGTAGGCGGGTAAGACGTTTGCCCTCGCGCAAACCCACCCAAGTCAAGCTTGATGAATACGTTTGTGGCTCGCCCAGCGATTGTTGGTCAATGAGCGGAGACAAATGGGGTAGAGTAGGAGATGTGAACTGTGTTCCAGTGGCCGCGTCCTAGTGAGGACTTGACAGCCGTAGAACCCTGCAAGAGGTTACCTCAGCCACAACTGGCAAGATCAGATTGCAGATTAATAAGAGTATGGGGAATTGCGTAGAGATGTCCGGCCGGATACGGGCTGCGAAATGTCAGTCCTAAGGACATAAACAAAGTTCGCAAACAAAATATCCGGAGTTTCTCGAAGTTCAACCGCCACTGTATTCAACGCTATCAGAAAGGTCTGCATCTACCTGAAGCCCAAGATCGCGATCTTCTAAAAATTTTTTGCCAAGTAGCTTTTCAGGAAGATAGACCTGGGCGACTTTTCCATCAACATAGTTCGGATTATACTTGTATTCCTTCCCATAACCCATATCTTTCATTAACCTTGTCGGAGCATTGCGTAAATGTATGGGGATGGGCAGACCAGCCATTCCGGGTTCCTCTAAAACTGCTAACGCGTTGCTAAGGCCTCGATATGTTCTTGTGCTTTTCTTAGATAAGGCCAAAGCAACGGTAGCATGAGCAAGATTGATACGAGCTTCAGGCATGCCGATTTTTTCTACGGCGATATACGCAGAGGTAGCAAGTGACAGCATTGAATTGTCCGCTAGTCCAATATCCTCGGATGCAACCACGATTAGGCGTCGAGCGATGTACAGTGGATCTTCGCCAGATTGAATCATCCGTGCAAGATAATAGAGAGAGGCATCAGGGTCGTTGCCCCGAATGGACTTATGAAACGCGGATATAGTGTCATAATGTTGGTCACCGGCGCGATCGTAGACGAGGGTCCTGGTTAATGACTTTTTAAGATCCTCCCGAGTCATTCCTTCACGTCGCGATAGGTCCATTGCAAGTTCTAATAAGTTGAGGGATGTCCGAGCATCCCCATCAGCGAACGCAGCAAGATACTTGATCAACTCGTCGTCCACTAGAGGCGAGGGAGAATAATTTGGGCCTTCAACTTTCAGTGCGCGATTAAGTATCGAAACGATATCCTCGTCTGTGAGCTTCGCGAGAGTAAACGTCCGGCATCGTGACAAGAGAGCGTTTTGGACCTTGAAGGAAGGATTCTCAGTGGTAGCACCAATCAAAGTTATTTGGCCGCTCTCAACGGGGCCGAGGAACACATCCTGCTGTGATTTAGAAAATCGGTGGATCTCATCACAAAAAATGATTGTTTTCCTCCCAGACAAACTTAGCTCATTTTTCGCCTCAGAAAATAGCTTTTTACATTCCGCGACTCCGGAGTTGGTGCTGTTAATTTCCACAAATCTACTACCGACCATCTTTGCAATGACGCGCGCAATAGTCGTCTTTCCTGTTCCAGCACCACCCCAGAGTATCATGCTTGGTACCCGGTCCTGTTCAATAAGCCCGCGAAGTACTCCTGACGGTCCGACAAGCTCTTGTCCGTAGACGTCGTCTAATGATCGTGGGCGCATACGCTCTGCCAACGGAGCCGCATTTTCGAGGGCATTAGATGTCCGGCTCCGCTTCACCACGAGGCTGCTGTCCTCCTCCGAAAAATTCGGCTTAGCATTTCCGAGCCCGTTCAGAGCTTGTTCGGGGGCCCAATGGTCCGTGAACGATCGTTTCCCTTTGAGACTTTGGGTTGGTATGGAAGATGTTACCGGGCTGTCTATTTTCGATACAGTCTCAGGAGGAGCAGCCTTTCTAGCGGAGTTCTGGAAAAATGATGATACATGAATGGGCGTCTGAGGCCCTTGGGAGGTGCCATCGGTTTGGCTTGAGTCTAAGTCCACGAAGCTTTGGCAGCCAGAGTCCAGGTGGGCGTTGATCTTGTTTTGTTTCACCGACTTGTCGCAAATTGGACATATGACCATAATTGGTATTTCCTCGCGGTCCTGCTGGGCTAATTGGCAGTTAGACCAGATGGTTGTGACTTTCAAAGCCCTTCATCGAAAGCTCGCGATATAAGAACGTTGACGTGAAGGATGGATGACTAAACCTCAGGAATATTTTAAATCCGATCTTTCCCGCCAAGTTGCGAGCTTCTGTCTAAAAAGGCGTGAACTGGTAATTGGACTCAATCCTCCCGTGGTTCATGATACTTTATGAATTACTATGTCCAGTAGCCGCCTGTTCTTGTAGGAGCCTGAAGGTGTTACGCACTGGCGCGCAATGCTCTCTGCATACACATACCGCACCTTACATTCACTCCCAAGCATAAGTCGTTCGCAGTTCCCTGCAATTGCTAGGACAGCGATGAGAGGGATGTCGTCAAGCGAACCACGACGAGACCCTTTTCGTCCAGCAAAGCGTGTTGCGGGGCAGAGACAAGATGTCTGGTATTATTAAGCTGATCCGCGGATTGTCTGTTTGGTATTTATCAATTTTACTTACACGCAATTTCAGGTCCATTGTCAATGAAGCTGCGGCTGCGTCACCAGTTCAACCCATTGTAAATATGGGCCAAGGGTTTTTGTACGTATGCATGCGGGTGCACTGGGAATTTTTGTAATTTGAATTGGACACTTATGGAGGCTCCAAAAACCCACGTTCTAGTGGTTATAATCCCCCCAAGTTTGTCATCGATGCAGCAAAGGATGCCCTAGATAGGGTCGAGTGCAACCAATATGCGCCCACAAAGGTTTTTACTCCATTCACTAGCCCTGAATTTTATGTGGTTTAATTGTCTAAATTAGTCGGCAAACAGGGTTCTCCCCGGCTCAGGAAAGCTATTGCTGCCGCGTACTCGCCATTTTTTGGTCGAGAACTCAACCCTGATACAGAAGTGGCAATCACTACAGGTGCCAATGAGGGTTAGATCCCACAAATTCCTGTCTGATAATGGAAGAGGAAAAGAAAGCTAATAAGTGGCTTTGTAGGCATGTTGAGTGCCTTCATGGGATTTATTGAAGAAGGAGATGAAGTCATTATTTTTGAGCCGTTCTTCGATCAGTGCGTCTCCCCCTCCCTCTGCCACTCTCGATAACTAACTCTTCGATAGATATATAAGCAATATTGAGATGCCGGGAGGAACAATAAGATTTGTTCCTTTACATCCCCCCAAAGATGGTGCGTCGAGGACTTCTTCGGCTGCGGAATGGACAATAGATTTCGACGAGCTTGAGAGAACCATCAACTCCAAAACGAGAATGATTGTATGTTTACGATATTGACCCTTGCATCTCCAGATATTGTCCGTTTCTATCCGTTTCGTACCTGACTCTTTTAACTAGGTTCTTAACACACCGTATGTTAATTTATTTCAGTGGCTCTTCTTTGACGACCGTTGTTAATATTATGTACAGCCATAACCCAATCGGTAAAGTCTTTTCGCGGGTGGAGCTTGAAAAAGTAGCTGCGCTTTGTGTTAAGCACAACATTATAATACTCTCTGATGAGGTTTATGATCGTCTTTACTACGTCCCATTTACGCGCATAGCTACCTTGTCTCCCGAGGTTGCCGCGCTCACGCTGACGGTCGGGTCAGCGGGAAAGAATTTCTACGCAACCGGCTGGAGAGTTGGTTACCTTATTGGCCCCGAGCATCTTATAAAGTATGTTGCAGCAGCACATACTAGAATTTGTTACAGCAGCGTCGCACCGTTGCAAGCAGCTGCAGCAGTTGGTTTCGAGAAAGCAGACGAAGTTGGATTCTGGGACCAGAGCAGAGCAGAAATGAGAGCAAAAATGGACAAGTTCTGCGAAGTGTTTGATGAGCTCGGTATTCCTGTGAGTTCCGAATTCCTCCGTTGTGGTACACCTCGCTATACAAAACCTTCAGCTCTCCTGGTGCTAATACTCCCCCCGAAAAGTATTCTGATCCAGAGGGGGGATATTTTGTCCTTGCAAACATGGCTACCGTCAAGTTTCCGGAAGATTACCTTTTTCCTCCACATGTTGCAAACCGTCCCCGCGATTTTAAACTGTCCTGGTTCCTTATTCAAGAGGTCGGTGTTGCCGCTATCCCGCCGACAGAGTTCTATACGGACGCGAATGCCCATATCGCTGAGGATTATCTGCGATTTGCCGTGTGCAAAAATGATGACGTTCTGGAGACTGCAAAAGAGCGCTTGCGTGGGCTTAAGAAGTACATCGTCCGTTCATAATTTTCGGATGCAAATACTTTCGGGATCGGAAGGCTAAATAAAAACCTTAATTTTTTGAAAACTTAATCTACATCGGTTTGCGTATTTACCGAGTTGCTAAAAGATTTTTTTTAGGTTATAGAATGTTTTTTTCTGAGCTATGTCACCCTTCATAGAATTTCATGGGCATATCTAACCACATTGCGTGTAATTATTTAATTTTCTACTCAAAAATCCCGGCCCCTGTAGTTAGTTTTTCTTCCCTTTGGAGCTCTGGCTGGAATTACTTGAAAACGCCTCAAAAAACGAACAAAAGCGGAGCTCGCGCTGGCCGCTAAGCTCCTTTGAGTTTGGTATCCTCGAGAACTTCAGAGGGAGAAAAAAGCATGAAGGCGACGGACGACAGGCCAGTTACACTGAAATCAACCGAAGAGCTACTGGTCCCGAATATCGATTTGGTTATTTCCATGCGCGACTTGGTGGGCCAAATCGATCCTCCTTCTTACCTGCGAAGTATTTCCTTTTCATCGCCGTCCACCCCTGCATCAACGCATGAGATCATGGGTGACCAACATAATATTTCCCAGATTCTGGCAGCCTTAGGTATTTCTAGCACCGTCCTCGTCGGAGTGACAGTCCCATTCTCGTCTGTTTGCTTACCCTTTTCTTACCGCTGGTGCCAGCTGCCCACCAATCTACGAGCGTCGCTGGACATACATCCTCGCCTCAACAAGGGCACATGCCTCTAAATGCATTCTCCGGAAGTTACCATCCCTCAGCGGCATCTGCAAATATCGCCAATTACTCTTTGCCTCCTCCCGACAGTACCGGGAGTTTAGATATCAGCGGTATCAAGCCTGTCAATACCGGCTCAGTGAGTATTGCGGACGCAATTGCCAAGGCGCGAGGAATTGCTGCAGAGAAAGGTATATTACACGATCAGAATAGAGGTATGGTATTGCGTATATACATATTCTTTGGTTTTATAATTAGCATTTCCCCTGTTCTTGTGGAGCCGTTTTGCACATTTGCTGATCAGGGGACCCTCTCAGGGTCTCCTCGGGGAATAGATTCAAGACGAGACCCACGATCGTACCATCGTTCGCAATCTCCACAAAGAAGTCCTTCACGAATTACACGCGATATTTTCCGTGATAATTATAACCCATATCGCGATGAGCGTCGTACTGATAGACGCGCTGGTCCGAATGAGCGTGGTTATACGCGGGATCGTTCTTTCTCGCCTCGTCCAGCTGGGCGGGCACAGGAACCATACTCTCCCCAATCATCACCGAGACAGTACTGGGGGACGGATGACCGGCCTCCTCCCCAAGGTCGTAGACCGGGCAGTATGGACGATAATGTTGAAACCATAAGCGTTGAGTCTAGTTTGGTTGGCTTGATCATCGGTCGCCAAGGGGAGAGTTTGCGACGAATTGAATCAGATACTGGAACGAGGATACAGTTTCTGGATAATGCCGATCCCAGCAGTTCAGTGAGACTTTGCAAGATTACAGGAAGCAGGGTTGCGAGAGGAGATGTGAAAGCGGAAATTACGCGCATTATCAGCGAGAGCAGCGCGTCCCGATCAGGCACTCGGACAGACCGCCCGGGCCATATGCCACCCAAAGCTACCAGTCAGTCTGCCCAGGACGATGAAGATGCCGTGCGGATTATGGTTCCTGACCGGACGGTCGGGCTTATTATTGGCCGTGGAGGCGAGACTATCAGAGACCTCCAAGAGCGAAGCGGATGTCATGTGAACATCGTAAATGAGAATAAAAGCATCAACGGGCTTCGACCGGTCAATCTGATAGGGTCTCCTGATGCTACGGAGAGAGCAAAAAATCTGATTCTCGAAATTGTCGAGAGTGACACTCGACAGCTTGCGAACCCAACGCAGCGCGAACCACGCGCAGCATATGGAGGAGATCAGCCTGGAGGTGGACCTGGCGGGGAGAAAATCAACGATATGATGTTTATTCCACCAGATGCGGTTGGGATGATTATTGGAAAAGGTACAATTACAACCTCAATTCCTCCTTCAATTAAGGGGCTTCCGTTCAGTGTTAATAAATACATGCAGGTGGAGATACAATTAAAGAAATGCAGGCCGTTACTGGTTGTAGAATCAACATTCAGTCACCGGTAGGCCGTGATGCTGATCGGGAAGTAACTTTGGTTGGGAGCAGGGGTGCGATCGAGGAGGCAAAGAGGATGATCATGGAGAAGATCGACAGCGCAGTGAGTAGCGAAAATTTTACCCATCCCGAATCGCATGATTTTATTCAGTGGTATTAACTTTCCCAACCCAGGAATACAAAGCTCGTTCTCAACAACCTCAGCGACGAGATGACTCGTATGGTGACCGATATGCAAGACCGCAGCAGCGCCAGGGCCAGCAGTACTACCAGGACTACCAGGATCAGAACAGAACAGCCGCACAGCCCCTCACTCAGCAACATCCCCCTCAGCCTGGTGCGGAGGAGGACCCCTATGCTCAATGGGGAGGTTACCAGAACTATATTGCATGGTGGTATGCGGCCATGCAACAGCAGGCACAGCAGCAACAGACGGGACAAGCTCCACCCGGCCAGTCTGAACCTCCTGGCCCTCCTGGGGTCCCATAAACTTATAGCCAAGCTCCTGGTGTTACAAGTGGGTAAACTGTGTCCAAACATTTTTACCCTCCGTTTTGATTCCCTTAATCCCACCCCCTAGAGCATCAGGCACCAGAAGTGCCTCCACGAATGTGCGAAACAGGCGTGGAACATGCTGTCGAGTTCTAATGTTCTAGAACGTCAACATTCCTGTCCCTTTCCTCTACTTTTCCTTCAATTCCACTTTGTTGAGTTTTGCTTTTGCTGTTTCCTCTTATCACATTGCTTTCCTATGTGTCACAAAGAAAATGCGGATTTTCAACGGATATCTCAACTTGGCGGATATGGATTTAATAATATAAGTTCTTATGGCTACTGGAGTTATTTAATCCTTCGAATTTTGTTTTTTTGTTTTTTTGTTTTTTTTTCATTCCCCCACTTTTTTTGGCATTTATTCCCTATCTCGTCTTGTTGTGCAGTGGTACTGTTGATGGGGAATGACAGTTTGTTTACGATTGATCATTATTACCGATGTAATACAACAAAGTAGTTATATTGTTGGTCGATACTTACCTTCCCCCGGTTCTCTTCCTTGGTCCCATTCCTTTGTGAGTTTTTTAGCCATATTGGATTGAACAGATTATCTCATGTCTTTTATATTGCCACATACTATACATTGACTCTGTAACTATGTAGGCCATGGTTTGCTGGGTTAAATATGATGACATCATCCGATGCGTTTAACTAAGTTAAGTTAGAACCAAGTTCTTGACGGAGCCGCGTGTTTATGTAACCGCCCTTGGCATTTGATTCATTGGACGCTGTGAATTTCCTGAAACGTTTCAAAAAACAGCAAACAACAACAACAACAACAACACATCCACAATCGGTGGATATGAATAGCCATTGAACGGTTACTCGCCAGGCCACTGACAAAGGATCAGGTATCCTTCCAGAACCTAGAATTATCCTGAAACGCCAGATCTATGCCATGGGAAATCCCAGGTCCTCCACGGCTTATTGTGTTGCTGCTGTACGCGCTGGGAGGGTTTCAGGGTATACAATCGGGCACCAGCTTTGGCGCCTGGCTATGACCTGGATACCGAAGCCCTAAGGTCAGATCCCCAGCTTATGGCCTGTCTGGTGGGTCTTTTGCGCCCGTCCTTCGATGGGCGCCAACAGGTCCCTGGTTATTTTTGCAGAACTGGCCACTGGCAGTCCGCGCATGCTTGAGAGTGCTCAATTCTTCAGACACTTGGAATGTGTTTCAAAACGATAAGGTGGCTGCTGATTTGCTTGCGGGTTGCCTACAGCTAAATAAAGAATGCTTGTCACCACAGAGCTTGCTTTCTTCCCCTTGACAGAGGCTCGACGGGGAGTTCCGTTGATCTTCGGCATGTAACGGTGCTGCCGCTGTGCTGCAGAACAGTTCTCGTTTGGCTGTTTTCCGAAATATATTGTTCGTTGACTACCCCCTTGTGCTGGCATTCACAGTAGATTTTTAACAATCCTTTCTGTTCCTTCTCATTGTCTTTGTGGTTTTGCTGTTTTTCTCCCCTCAATGGATTTCTTTTGTTTTCTTATTTTTGGCTGGCCCATTCAATAGACTTGAATAAACACCAACTTCGGGAACAATCTTTGGATATAGTTCTATTGCGTTCTATTCTCCTTTCACTTCTTGTGTATCAATCACCCTTCTATTCCCCCCATTATTGGTATCCTGATTCTCTTAATTTTTATTTTAATATTTTCGTTCTGCTATACCCTTAAAATCTTATATCTCTTAAACGGCAAAGTACCTCCAACTGCTTCTCTTCAGTACGGCCTACTTCTCAATTAATATACCAAGCGCTGGTCGTATCCAATCCTTGACTCCTTTTTAAACCAGTCTACCATGAAATTCTCTCGATTCATTCCGCGGTCACGGACCCCAGGTCTACCTGCGTACGGCGAGCAAGATCCTAACACATTCGAAAATGGCTACCGGCCGTCACCGCCCCCAGGCGCTATCACCCCTTATCTCGGACTGCGATCTCGTTTATCACAAATTTGGTTCAATCGATGGACCATACTACTGCTGCTCATTCTCGCTCGAGTACTTGTAGCCATCGGCTCTCTAGATGGAAACCTGGTCTCCGCAAAGAGAGAGGCTTTGTCCGCTTGCTCAAGTGTAGAATCCGTGGGTAGCACCATGGCCTCGATGCCTCATTATATGGCTCAGGGAGTCAATGAGTTGACCGCGACAGGGGTGGAGAAGGCTATCAATGGGCTTATGTCGATGCTCGAACTTACTGTCACCGGTGTTGAAGAGATATTCGTTTTTTTCGTCAACGTTATGACCCAGACATACCTTTGTCTTATCACGCTGGTTGTGGCTGGAATGATGAATGCTGCCATTGACGTCCTGAAAAAGGCAACTGAGTTCCTTGATGATATCACCGGCAAGCTCGGAAATGCCATTGGCGATGGCATCAGCGTCTTCGAGCATGCAATTAACGGTTTTGGCGATGTTATCAATATGTTTGGCACCAAACTCCCCAAACTCAACCTTGATGGTCCAATCAAGGAACTAGAAAATCTCTCATTACCGGACGGTTTGACGGACGATCTCAATAAGCTGAAAGAAAAAATCCCGAACTTTGAGGATGTCAACAATTTTACAAACAATGCTCTCCGCATGCCCTTCGAACTTGTGAAAAAGCTCATCAGAGATGAAATCGACGATTACAAATTTGATCGATCTGTATTCCCGGTGCCAGCGAAGGAGCAACTCCAATTTTGCAATGAGGAGGGTGGCATCCATTCTTTCTTCAACAAATTGGCGTCGCTTACAATCACTGCTAAGAAAATCTTCATTGGCGTGTTAGTTGTCAGCGCGATATTGGTCTGTATCCCAATGGCGTACCGTGAAATGCGAGCCTGGCGTGGTATGAAAGAGCGATCTTCCTTGGTTCGAAGAGATGCTCACGACCCCATGGATGTTGTATACATCGTTTCAAGACCTTTCGCCTCAACGGCTGGCCTAAAAGCCGCAACTTGGTTCAGTGGACACCGTAGGCAGGTGCTTGCGCGATGGGTCGTTGCCTACGTCACATCTCCACCAGCGCTTTTCCTACTCTCCCTGGGTGTTGCTGGACTGTTCTCATGTGCTTGTCAAGCCATGCTCCTGGCAGCTGTGAAAAAGGAGGTCCCTAGTCTCACAGAACAGGTCGGCCAGTTTACTGAGAAGGTCGTTTTCGCTCTCAACAACGCCTCCGAACAATGGGCAGTCGGCACCAACCGTGTCATCGACGATACGAATGATGATATCAACCAAAAGGTCTTTGGTTGGGTTAACCAAACGACAGGGTCAGTCAACAACACCCTCAACGTCTTTGTCGACGAAACCAGCAACGTCCTCAATCGAACCTTTGGTGGCACGATCCTCTACGAACCAATCAAGGACGTCCTACATTGCCTCATCGGCCTGAAAATCGAAGGGGTCCAAAAGGCCCTGACTTGGGTGTCTGTACATGCCAAGGTGGACTTCCCAAACTTGGCCAACGACACATTTTCCCTACGTACCCTCGAAAAGCTCTCCAAAGACAACGACTCAAATGCAGACAGCTTTCTCATGAACCCGGGCGATAAGACCACTGACAAGATCAGCGAAGTAGTCCAGCGTGTCACAGACTCTGTAGAATCTGGTATTCGAACTGAAGCCATCATCTCGGCTGTTATCATCTCCATCTGGTTTGCCGTGCTCCTGATGGCTATCGTTCGAGCTCTGACGCTCTGGTACGGTGCTGACAAGAACCGTGGCGACGGAAGTGGTGATTCTGAATTTCCCCACCCCGAAACGTTATCCAGAGACGCGGCGGGTTTCAGTGATATTCCTCTTGCAACTCCAACTCATGTCAGTCCGGGAATGGCAGACACTTCGGTACCGGTATACACCACAAGACCTCCCCTACAAGCCTTCAATGGGGATTATGATGCGGAAGATTATTATCAGGAGCAGAAGCTGGGATTTGCTGGCCAGCGGGAGTTGAGAAGGGACGTCGAAGGCCATGCACGGAAGAGCAGCTATGGAGAGGTTGAATATACGAGTGATGTTAAGAGATAAGTCATCTCTGCATTTTAACTTTTTTTTTCTCACTGTGGTTTTTCTTTTCTTTTCTGTCCCTTTATTTTGAAATATACTTCTTTTTCAAGTGTGTTTGTTACCATGCATTGCCGGTATTGGCGTCCTTCTCCTTGTATGGCATTATTCTACTCTCAATGATTCTCCTTCCTTTGACTCCATCCAATCCGCATCCCGGGTTAAAATACCCACGATGTTTTTCTCCTGGCTGCTCTCTTTATATTTTGTGAGCGGTGGGTGGCATTCTCTAGAGAAATCTTTTTCTTTCCTCCTTTCACGCACACCCATACTGGTTTTATATCATTTGAGCTCCACCAATGCTGTTGTTGGAGTACACTGTACATTTACATCGGGAGTCTGGGGGCTACCTACTCACTCCCCGCCCTTCCAAATGTTTTTCAGCCTGTTTTTATTACGTCTCTTCTTCCTACTCGTACATAACATCCTTTCTTCCCCTCATGATCAGCATTGATGTTGCTATGTTTATTTTCAGGCCTGCTCTGTATCAAGTTATTCTTAGGGCCCACATAGAATATGGAAATATAATGACAAAAATTAAAATTATGTTATTCATTGAATACGATAATTGAAAAGGAAGAGAAGAAAAAGAAAAGAAAAAGAAAAAATAGATAAATTAAAAAAAAAAAAAATACGAATATGAATAAGTGAACTAATAGAGTAATAGAGTATTCATTCGTAGGCGATATGGTTGGCTCTCTAAAACCGTAGACTCTTCAGTCCACCGAATCACCGCGTTCTAACGGACCCTCATTGCCTTCAACAGTCCGGGAGTGTGCGCGAGATGACCCCGCACTCTGCACTGAACCTGTTGGAGTTGCGGAAGGAGATAGAAGAAACCTCTTTTCATTCTCCCTTCGTGGCGCCAGTTTCGGGTCCGATGGAGTCTGTCGATTCGAGGATCCAGAATGTACTGACATTGCACCTTCCGACGAAAGACCGTCGGGAATATAATTGTGCCCGGAGCGAAACAAGCTTGAGACTTTCGAATCGTATTCGAACCGCCGAATCTCCGCTTCGCTATCATTGATACGTCTCAGCGGCGGCAATGAGCCTAGTGGATATGAGTGGGCATCGGTACCAAAAGGAGTGCGATATCCATTCTCGCTGCCTGCGATTGGCGGTATCGGACTCGGGAAACTTGAAGCCGGTGGCAGTTTAGACGAAACAGGATATGGTAATGATGGCGCCGTCGCTATTTGCCATAATCGGGGAGATAGCCGTGCAATAAGTGATTTTAACGCTGGGACTGCCGCCGCCCAGATTGCGCAGTTTGTTTCTATGTTCGAAAATGTGTATTCGATATCGTATGCCCGCTCCAGGGTGGGTAAGTCAAAATTGCCAGATACTAGTATTAACCGTATTATTGCAAAAATCGTCACCCTAATGGAAGAAAAGGAGACGAGGTAGATGTTAGTTGGTTTGATTCAGGAACTGCAAGGCGCAGGTGGTTTTTCAGGGGCCCGGGATGGAAGCTTGACAAGACGAAAGATTTCCAAGGAAGTTGGGTAAGAGCACGTACACAACTCCTATACTCAGTACACCCACAACCATAAATTTTTGCCTCCTTGGCATGTTTATCCCCCAAACGATGGCGGAAGGAATGGTCAGAAGCCAGCAATCAAGGGCTATTGACAGCAGTGCCATTGAGATAAAAAATGCCTTCCCTTTAATGCATCCCCCCCCTCTGATCAGCTTTCCATTTTTCATCCCATTTTCATCCGCCCCAGCAGCTTCCTGAGCTTTGCGATCCAATTCCTCGGAATCCCAAGCATATTGTAGGGGCGTGCATTGGAAAAGGTCGGCAAAGAAGATAGCGATCCCGACACAGAAGTTGATGACGAACAAAATGCGAAGTGACTGTATGACGAACTTACGAAGACCGTGCAGACGGAGGATGAACGTAATGATAGATGCCCTCACGAAGGTGAGGATGGGAAAATAAAGAAGCTGATTTGCAAGGTTGTATTGTTCGCCCAAGACACTCAATCTGAAGCTGTCCGGCGGAAAATATGTTGGCGGAAACCCTTGGGAGGCATACTTTGTATCTATACCAGGAGTTAGCGAGATGATAGATCCTACCTCGGGGCATGTAAACTTTTGGAAGCGCGAAGTAGTGAAGGAACTGCAAACCCATCACTTACATCCCCAACTGGTCACACACATCCCTATAGATATAATCTAGGTTTCCTTTCATGAGAAATGCCAAAAGACAGATTTTTCTGGATGAAAGTGTCTTCCATACCATTGCAATTACCACGAATACATCATCTATTCGCATATCATATGTTTGTTAGAAATATGCGGATGGATAGCTAAATAAGGCTGCTTATGTGCTCACCCCAGCCCCAATTCTTCGACAAAAACCTAGAGAAAATACGCAACGAGACCAGGACAAGACTTATAGCTGGGAAGATTATAATTATCACCAATGCTTGGACGTGTCTTCCTGGCGCCATGCCCTTCTAGTCGGCAGCTTGTCAAGCCACGAGGAACCCAATCTGGGCCTCATATGTAACGGCCTCGAAGCCGAGAAAGGTGAGGGAAAAACCGACCGTTTCCGGGAAGAAGCGGAACGCGTTCAAGGGAGAAGTAAATCCACACAAAACACGAATCAAACAAGATATTGTCGTTGGGATACATAGTGGTCACGGGGAAGAGGTTTTCAGGGCGGCAAAATATCGGCTCTCCTGGTAAAACAACGCGGGGACTTGAACAAGCTTGTCCTAAAACCGAGATTGGCCGGCGGAATGTAACATCAGATAAAATATCACGACGTCATCACTAGCGACATATCAACTTGCTTGTGGCTGGTTGTTTCCATGGTTTGAAAGAGAGTAAGGTTAAGTTTGCGGGTCCTGAACTAACCAACATGGGCAATGAGGGAAAGCATCATCATCTAGGAGGGAGGCTGGGAAGCAGTTATTTGAAAATCAAGAAAACAAACATGATGCACCACATTGCAGAGATAAAAACCCCAGCAGAAAGGGTGTCTATAACAATCGTGAAAAATCCAATTTCCAGCCTATGCAGGCGTCATGTTCGTTTCCTTAAATAACAACAAAAAATCCGTCACCCTTATCCTTCACCCGACTCCTTTCCACGATCGGATCACAACAGCTAATCCGAATCCTTTCAGGCGTCGCCGGACTGACCAAGGTCAACACTTCATCAACCCCCCATTGTTTTCTTGCCGCTTTCAGTGCATCCCGTATGGCGAAGAAGACAGCGCTGCCCATGAAAAGAGGCGGCTCGCCAACACCCCTTGATCGCTGGATCGTCCGTAGATTCTCCCATTGTACATCTTTAAGCAAGCTCACATTGAACACTTGCGGAATATCTCTGAAGCCAGGGATTTTATACGTGCCCGGCCCACGGGTGAAAATCTGGCCAGAAGCACGGTGCCAGAGGCTCTCTTCAGTCGTGAAGAGTCCTTGGCCCTGGATAAAAGCACCTTCGATCTGTCCGTAGTCGATGGAAGGGTTTATACTCTGTCCCACGTCCATTTTTATATCTGCACGGAGTGGTGTCCAATCGCCAGTTAACGTGTCGATCTGGACTTCGGCTGCGGTCACCCCTTGAGTGAAGTAGTAGAACATGAGGCCTTTGTTCTCACCCCATTTATAGCCTATATCGGGGGTCTTGTAGAAACCGTTCGCGGTGAGGTTAACCCGGTCGAGATACGCTGCTTTGACCAGTTGTTTCATCGATGCGTTCGGCAATTTCTCCCTGTATGGTTGGAGGCGCTGGTTGAGTTGTTCACAGGCATTGAAGACTGCATATCCATTGAGGTCAGAACTTGCAGAGGCCGCCGTGGGAGATGCATTGGCCACGGTGTTAGTAGCCGTTTCGGATATGAAGATGTCGGACTGAGGAACACCAAGTGCCTCCGCTGCGATCATGGTGATTTTAGTGTGCAGGCCTTGGCCCATTTCGATGCCGCCGTGAGCAACAAGGACGCTACCATCATTATACAAATGCACCAACGCACCAGCCTGGTTAAGGAATAACGCCGTGTAAGATATACCGAATTTTGTTGGAACAATAGCGAGGCCCTTTTTGGACCATTTGTGAGTCCGATTGTACTCTGTAACCGCTGCTCGACGGGAAGCATAATCGGATTCGTCCATTACCTGCTTGTACATGAGGGGCACATACCAATCGGCACCGAGTTCCTGATTGAAATGCGTCTTGTTATTTCGACTGTACATGTTGATCTCCTGAAGCTTTTCCACAGGGATGTTCAGATGATCTGCGATCTCTGACATGTAAGTCTCAGCGAAAAATAGGCCTTGTGGCCCACCAAATCCGCGGAATGCAGTATTGGACACCGTATTCGTACGGCAAACATGCCCACGAACATGAACGTTGGGGATGTTGTAGACACCATCAATGTGCGATAGACATCGATCAACCACAGCCGCAGAGAGGTCCTGGGTATGACCGGCGTTAGCATAAACATCAGCGTCCAGCGCCAATAGTTTCCCTTCTTTCGACACACCAACTTTCCAGTGGCAGAGAAATGGATGCCGTTGACCCGATGTAAGGATATCCTCATCACGATTCAGCATACAACGAACGGGGCGCCTAGACTTGGAGGCAGCCACCGCGCAGATACCAGCAAGCTGAACCGATCTAGTTTCTTTCCCTCCGAACCCACCCCCAAGCCGTTTGACTCTCGATACGATCTTGTTAGATGCAACTCCGGTGACCTGAGCCACATACTCTTGTCTATGAAAACTGTTACTTTAGATATTCAACCTTTTTATTTGACTGGAAGCGTAGATGAAAGCACAAAAAAAGGGGGGGAACTCACGTTTCATTAGGGTTCTGCGTGCTACTCCAAATCTCCATCTCCCCATCCTCTGGCTTGGGAATAGCAACACACGCTTGAGTTTCTAGATAGAAATGCTCCTGCCCACCCATTCTTGAGACGCCAGTGAAAACATGATCCGCTGTGGCAAATGCAGCCTCGACGTCACCACTTTTGATAAAAGGCTTATGATGGTCGTAAAAGGAGTTCGCTTCAATCGCTTGCTCGATGGTTAGGATAGCAGGTAACTCTTCATATTCAATCTTGACAGCCCGCGAACCCGCTTCAGCCAATCTTAAGGAAGTACCAAGAACCATCCCAATGGGCTGACCAGCCGTGAAAACTTCATTGACGGCAAAAAATACTTCATCAGCCCTCGGTTGGCCCCACCAATTTGCTTCTGGGCTCGGAAGACTGGTATGATCGACATAGTCGACCACACCTGGGATATCCAAAGCAGGGCGGAAATCGACACTTAGTATTTTCGCACGAGCCTTTGTGGACAGGACTAGGCACCCGTAGAGTTCATTGTGTTGAGGGGGAATGTCGTCCGTGTATTGCGCCTGGCCAGTAGTTTGCTTCAGCGCGGAGACATGGGGTACTTCCTTCCCCAGAATCCGCTTTTCATATGAGCGGGCAGCTGCATGATCCTTTCGGCCAGAAGAGATTTCTCTCTCGATTTCAGCGACCGCTTCTTCGTCGGCAGCTGTAGTGTTACACCGGAGACTGGAGAGTACATCATGGTAGAACCGGTAGAAGAACCCAAGGGCAAGAGTTTTCCTATACGTTGGCATCCCGCCTGGCACTGAAGATGGAAGGTCAAAATCCATTTCCAAAGAATTCATTACGCCCTCAAGTGTGGCTGGATCAGTCCAGTCCTTCCCTACAAGGAAGGTTTGTGCTGATTTCGCAGGGATGGTTGTAGGAGCCATGCCGCCGTATACCAGATTAGCACTGGTCACGACATTTGAATCTGAAAGTGAAACTCGAAGAGCGGCGTTGGCGATGGCTATGTCATCATCCTTTCTTTTTGACTGCTTGTATGCCCGGAGATATTCGCCAGATTCCTGGCTCACTGGGATTCGCAACGATGCGATGATAGCGTTGGCTGCCAAAGCTGTAGACCGGTATCCTTTAAAAAACTCTCCCATCGGAATCTCTGTATCTCCCTCTAGAGATTTTGCAACTAGGACCGTGTTAGTTGCAACAAAAACTGGATTTAGATCGGATATCGGCGACGCGGTAGCTATATTTCCTGCTGGGGACGCAACGTTACGAATCTGTCTTCCAGCAAAGTACCTGATCTGTTTCTTGATTGCAGCATACGGTTGGCCCTTAGTAGGCCCGTATATCTCAACTGCTTTATCGCAGATAGTCTCCAAATCCGTCAAGGTAACGTTCGCCCCTAATTCCAGGTAATCGTCCGTAAAGACGTACTGTTTTAACTCCGGAATATCGCCAACATATACTGAGTCGACATATTGCATAGCCTTGAACTTGACCTCAATCTGTGTCTCGGTGCTTCCCCCCACAATCTTGGCGGATGGACATGCGTCCTTGATCTCCAATAACTGCCGCACAGTGACAGGACGGTACCAGCGTTTTTTCTTATTTCCAAAGGCCAATGGCCTAAAATCATACTTCCGCAATGACGGAGGGAAAATCAATTCAGTGTCAGGGTTGTAGGAGATGAAATCCGGCGAATTGAAGGATTTTTCGGTTGTGGTGTTGTCACTATTGCTGGTGTCGCAATATGTAGATGCCTTATCCTTACAACAACCTCCCTGTTTCCTTTCCATGCAGCAACCCGGTCCCCCGTTGGCACTTGCTTTTCCACAAGAAAACGACTGGGCGGCGTCTAGGATGGAGCGGTAGCCGGTGCAGCGACAAAGGTTGCCATCGAATGTTTCTTCGATTGCAAGTTTTGACGGAGCAGGATTGTTCCGCAGCAGGGCATATAAACTCTAGCAATCCAGATATGAATTGATTCAGCCAGTGCGATAGATCAAAAAGCAGAGCGAAGTACAGTGCCATGCGAAGCTGGTTTTTTCCAACTAAAAATGGGCTACAGAAGAAGCTTACCATGACAATACCCGGCGTACAAAACCCACACTGGCTTCCGTTTCCCGCAGCCATTCTTTGCTGAACGGCATGCGGACTATTCGCATTTCCAATCCCCTCCACAGTGATGACATGTTTGCCGTCCACGCTGACAAGTGGTGCGAGACATGCGTTAACGGATGCATGGTATATTTGCTTCGTTGTAGGATTAAGGTGCGAGATAACCTGAAAAGCAAAAAAGCCATTAATATTGACCTATGCTCATACAAAAAGAGAAGAACACTGGCATCTACTGCACATACCACTGTGCAGGCTCCACAACCACCCTCGGCGCATCCCAGCTTGGTTCCTGTCAGTCCAACACCCCTCAAGTACTCCAACAGGGTGGCTTCAGGATCGGCATTTTCCAGCTCAACCCTTGTTCCGTTGAGGTAAAATCGGAGGGAACTGCAATAGTTCTCTGTTACTGATGCTAGCGAAGGGGTCTGCTTTAGGACCACGGAAGAGTCAGGACGCTGGAGGACAGATGGAGCCATGTTTTTTCTTTTCTCTTCTCGACTGAAGGGTCCCCCGTGAGGTAAATTTTATTGAATTCTGACAAAGAAGATTGTCCTATATAAAGTAAGAC